CCCCATTCTGTGGGCCAGGAAGACCTGGCAGGCTCCACGTGGAACTGCAAGCACTGAGCACCTCATCCCGTAGGTCTTCTGACCTACCAAGGACCAACAAAGCACAGGGCACATGGCCTGAAACCACACCACTGCCTCTCCTGTTTTTTGCTGCTGTCTTGCAGGACTCCAGGCAACACAAAGGTGGTAGTCTGAAACCCACTGAGCTATGAGAAACCCAGAGGTGGTAAAATATGCTTTTCTTGCACCAAAGACCTATGAAGCAATTGCAGAACTGCTTTGTAGTTCAGGTGAGAGCTATATACTGCAAATGGATGTAAATTCAGCAGAGTTCCTTCTTGTTCTTAAATTAGCAACTTCATTATCAGCCAATACAACAAATAACACAACAAACCTTTACTTCAGTTAGATAGAGAATGCACTGAGGTACATATACGTGCTCTTAAGCACCTACATTAATCCTAAAAGCTGAAAATCCTGTCAAAGAAGCCGAGAATTTATTTGCATACAGATATCACACACAGCTATCTATGTGTAGCCTCACCTCAACACTTACTTGACAAAAGTAATTCCCAAGCTTTTCTACACTGGTGTTTAAACCCTCAGCACTGAAGGTGTATCAAAAACTGCTGGCAGCAGTATTTCTCCCACTTTAAGGAAGGCAAAACAAAACTGTCATTGCTAAACAGAGAAGAAAATCTGTATGGAATGTAAAGACATTCATAGATGCTAAGTCATCATTTCATTATGCAAGAGGATTGTAAAAGTTTTTAATTATACAGAAACGGTGACAGTGCTCTTTGGTGTGTATGCTTTTATACTCGTAATTGTAAAGTACATTTCTGAACTAAAAGTGTAGAACTGTGAGACTCACGTAAAATATTAAGATTCAGATAATTAATTACAAGATGTTTTTATTATTTGCCTTGAGGTTTTTGAGTCTTTAGGGTGTGATTTTACCACATCTGTAACCTCTTCTCCAGGAAGCTCAAAAACTTTACTCTTTTAAACAAAATTAAATGGCAGCCATGAATCCTGTACCATCATTTGATCCTAGCAGCTGAGAGCTCAAAGAAGAACATCAACTATCATGAGATTTGTGATAAAATGGCAAAATCTGACAATCCTGCCAATAACTGATTCAGATCTGAAGTAAGAATCTGAATTCAATCACACTTAAACCTGAGAGAAATTATTTGGGTACAAGTCTGTTGAATGTATTTATCCCATGGATAACAATTTATAACTTTACCCTGACATACAGATAATTGGATTTGATTCCCAAGGTACCAGGTTTCTGCTCACACCATCAGGAATGACTTGGCCTAAAAGGGTATGAAAATATTGACTACAAATTAAGACAGCATAATGAATACTGTAGGACAGCGGGACATACAACACCTCTTTCATAGGCATGGCAATAGGACAACTGCATTACTCATGAGTCATGACACCTAGCAATCACTCAGGGGACTGCTCTAAATTTATGCCTCTAAAATGTTTTTACCACACCAGAAAATCATTATTTCATCCTACTGCATGCATTCTTAAGTAAGGCCACTTAAAAAAAAAAAAAAATCAAAATTAGTGTTATGCTGGGAATCTGAGTAGTCACAGGAGGAGACGAAAAGGTGGGCAGAGTACAGGCAAAGCAGTGAGAAGTTCGCAATCAATGTACTCATCCATGCCTGGGAACTATCACATGAAAAATGCAATTCATCTGTGCTAGGAAGACTGCTGGAAATTACATGTTCATTGTAGGAAGATATTTAGAATATTCTTATAAAAACCATGTCAGTAAGACCAATTTTTTCTACTTAATTCTCCCCTTCACCAGTTCTGTCTCAGTAGACTAATATATCAAGAAATAATGAGAACTTGGGAAACTTAGATGAAAAATACAACTAAGGACATAGTTTCCTGCATTATTGCCAAGAAAACAAGAAGAGAACTGTTTATTCATTTCCAAGGACATAAGAGAAACAGTTGTTAATAGTTTAAGAAATGGCTTTAAGAACTACAAAGGGTGAAATGAATAATGATGGTTATTAACCAATAATGCCTTACAGAATGATGTAAAATATGTCAGGAGTTAAACATGTCAACATACCAGACAAACTGTTTTCTCCTCACCCTAAGACACTCCCAGGTCATGGGTTGGGGTGGGCGTAGCACAGTTCAGCGTCAGGGACCGCATGGCAGGTAGGAGGGGCAAGGTTAATTGTGAAGGCATGTGTCAGCACTCTAACTGGAATGCCTACTGGTAGAACAGCAGCAGTGGATCTTGGATGTCCCTGTATTTTACTGCTGCAGTAAACTGATGTTGCCTTGACATCTGCTAGAACTTAAATCTGACTCTGAACTCTTTAACTCAACTAAAGCTGCTACTGACCCGAAGGGAATTTTGCTTGATAAATCCTGACTTAAAAATTGGAATCTAATGTTATCTTTGTTGTTTGTGACTGAAATCTCAGCAAATACAGTGAATTTATTTTTAAGCAGTTTCATAAAATGAAGACTGGATGGTATAGAACTGGCCTGGACAAGTGCACAAGTAGCTAGAGCAAGAACCTGCATTTGGTCCAGCCCAGCTCTGTAGGCTGGGAGGTCTCACCAGGGCTGGGCGCATTTCCTACTCAGAGCCCAGGGAGGAACCAACTGAGGTCAGTTGGTATGAAACAGAGAAAGGATGTAATGCTATCATAGGCATGGTGGCAAAGGAAGGACATTTGTATTTCTTAGTTTTTGAGAAATCTGGCTATCTCTTTTATATTCACATTGAAGAACGACAATTACTTTGGTTAACTCACCATTTTACAATATACATGAAGGGCCAAGCAAGCACAAGCAATGAGTCCTTTCTACTTGAGCCAATCTATTTACAGCATAAAAAGGCAAATACAGATCCAAACATGGGCTAAGGTTCTCTTGTAACACTTTGCCCTTTGCACCAGGACCCCCTGGCAGTCCGGTTACTTCACTGTGTCTGTGGAGGACCCCACAGCTGGCAGACAAATGCTAAAACTGCAGCAATTTCCTCATTTATTATTTTTGGCAAAAAATGCAGTATTGGGCTGTGTGACTTTCACCAGTGCAGAAATGTGTCACTGAAGGAGGCAGGTAGTGACGCACAATGAAATTCAGTGAACCTGCAGAAAACCAGGAGTGAATGAACACAGGGGTAAGGAAGTGAAAACTTCCTTTTGCAGAGCTACTGTGCATCCTCCGATGTTGGGGAACTGCTGGAGACTGTAATAACTTTAGCAGCCTCTCTGCACCCAACCCAATGACTATCATTCATTCTGATGAATCTGGATTCCTGGGTCCACCTGACTTTGCTGATGTCCCGATTTTCTACTACAGCTCCCTCATCTGTCCCTCTGGAGAGAGAGAGGCACCTAGAGTCTGTCCACCCTGGATGTCCTTAAAACTGGCAGCAAATACTTACTGAGCCTTCCAAAAAAGCATCACAGCACCAACCTGTCCCATGGCTAAACATCACTGCGGCAGAGATTTAGGGTTTACTCTCAATATCTAGCAAACATCAATGATGCTGTCACAAAAGTCTGGTTTTTTTAATAGTTTCAAAAAAATGCACATTTTTATACATCTGCATTTCTGCACACCAAAACATAGCTCATCAAAAACAGATAAGCAGAGCAGGCAAATTCACTCCTTGTTGAAGAAGGGTAGAAGTGAGTATAGTGCACTGCAATACAAATCCCTTCATACAGGGAAGCTCTAGTTCCCAAACCCAAATTAGGCTACACAGTACCAGTAATCATCAGAAGAAATTCAGATGATAAAAAACATATTATACTGATAACTTCCTGGAGTCATGCCTATCTTTGTGTTACTAGTCACCACCTGCATAGGTGAAGCAAGGTTAATCACAGTAGGAAACTGTTGTGAAATAATTTTGACTGAGGAAATAACCAATTAAATTCCCCTGCGGCAAACCAGCATAGCTGCAAGCGTTTGAGCTACTCTGGAAACAATAGTACTATTCACAAGCTTAAAGTAACTAGATTTTAGTATATTGCAGAAGCAGGATGCAAAAGGAAAACCTTCATGTATCAACAGCTATAATGGACACACTGTAATTCCTACCTTCCCTA